TGATTAAGATTTATAGCCTCTCTGTTCCCGCAGAACATAGCATTGATTTTTTAATATCAAAAAATAAGTTTCCAAAATAGATTGCTAATGTTGCTTTCAGTTATTTAAGGAAGATTGTGCCAAGTGCCACTTATATAAATCCTGTAAAAGATTGAGTTAACTGTATAATCTTTATAATTAATATTATTTCTGGCCTATAGGAATTTGCTGTTCATTTGGCTGGATATTACCGTATCTTACTTTTGCATCTCTCAAAACATCTTTCATAAAATGTTGATTATATGAGACAACCAAAAAAAATTCATTTAGTAGACCAATCAATATTTCAGTTACTAAACAACAGAGAAATTTAAAATTTTAGTCTAAATGAAATTTATCAAAGGACATAGAACCACTTAAGTATTGTGGCTCTTTGTTCTGTTAAGTTTTGGGGGGCAGAACTCTTGCTAAGTTGCTCAGGCTGATCCTGAACTCCTAGACTCAAGTGATCTCCCTTGGCAGCCTCCAGAATAGCTGAACCACCATGCCCAGAATTATGAGGGTTTTTTTTTTGTTTGTTTGTTTTCGGTACCAGGGATTGAACTCATGACCTAGTGCTTGCCAGGCAGATACAGATGCCGCTGAACTAAATCCCAGGCCCAATTTTATGGTTTTTTAAAATAAAGCTCTACTACTTTCCACTATAGTCCTTGTAAAGTATTTGAACCCTTCCCCTTTTTCAGAAGGGAGGAAAAAAAAAGACTATAAATAAAATAGTCACTGTTTCACTATGAGTCGTGCCATTCTTTTTTTTTTTTTTTTTTTTGCTTTATAGATCATATTCAAATCCATTTATTTTTCATTTAAAATGATGTGAGTATTTTCCTATGATAGACACAGTTTTAATAGCTCTTATTCTAGCAGGTTTTCCTACCATAATTTACTTAAGACCTTTGCTATTGTTGAACATTTAGGTTAGTTTTGTTTTTCCAGTGTTAAGTCATGCCACTGTAAGAATCTTTCCATTTAATGATTTCTCTGAATTTACCCTTATTTCCTAAGATAAAATCTCCCAGGGGTCAGATGCTTTGAATAATGTAAAGACTCACTGTTTGAATTGCATTCCAAATGTCAGTACCAGTTTATTCAGTTACCAGCGTTTTCAGAAATTGCCCAAGAGATGGAACAGAATTTTCAAACTATTTCACTGGTAGTGTTTTGGTTTAGATGCTAAGATGCTCCAGAAAACCATTAAAAAGTGAGGATATGGAAATAAAGCATTTGGCTGCCTGTATACATATTTTATTTTAGTAAAGCCTCAAAGCTAAGCCAAAGGCCATTATTCATATTCATGATGTCTCAAGCATGGAAAAGTGCTTCTAATTTTTGCAACATAAAAAACGTCTAATGACAGTGACGGAACTGAGTGACTCGCCAGACATGCTGACCAGAGAGCTAGAATTAGGGCTTGAGCACTGCATTCAGTCTCCACTTAAAAGTCTAATGCTTTTTGCACTTTCTGTTGTATTTAGAGACTATTTTTATGAAACTGAAAAATAATGGAACCAGACAGCAAGCTTAAGATTGCTAAAATGTCAGAAGTTGCAATTAAAAATCTTCATTACACTGTTAGTTTGATTATATTTTTCATATGAGTAATGGTTATATTTTAACTTAAATTTTAACTTAAATAAACAAATGTTTAATTTATTCAGATCTATCAATATTTTGCTTATGTTTACTAAATATGCAGTTTACATTTATTTTCTGCTCTTTAAAAATAAAACAAGCCAGATGGGTATTGGATACCTGTAATTACAGCCACCCTGGGTGGCCAAGGCAGCTTGATTGCAAGATTGCAAGTTCAAGCTCAGCCTGTGCAACTTAGCAAGACCCTGTTTCAAAATAAAACACTGCCTAGGAGCGTAAATCTCTGCAAAGGCCCAGTTCAATTACCAGTGCTGCAATATATACATAGTACATGTGTACTCTATACTTACTACATATGTACAGAATTAGCTGAGCACAGTTGTATACATCTGTGATCCCAGTTATTTGGGAAGCCAGATAGGAGAATATCAAGTTTGAGGATAACTTAGCAAAATTTGTCTAACTTGTTTTCAAAAATAATGTCTCAAAATTTTTGAAAGGGCGTGGGTAGGGTGAACTGAGCTCAGTTGCAGAGCAAGTTATGGCCTGGGTTGCCCCTTCAGTATGGCAATAAAATAAAACAAAACAGCTCGGTGGTAGAGCAGATGCCTAGTGTATGCAAGGCCCTGTGTTTGATCTCCTAGCACCACAAAATCAAATAATTAAAACCCTAGTTGAATTTTTCTCTAAGTATTGTCTTGATAACTTGTTCACTGAATGAAAATGTGACACAAAACAGACCATTTGAAAAGAATATATTTAGTATATTCCAATATGTGCATTGAAAAATCCACTTGCTTTAAATTCTTGGGAGGATAGTTTTTCTTAAGAAATAATGGGCATATTTAGCTGTAATATAAAAGGGGTAAAAATGAACAATGATGCTTCTTTTATCTCATGCCTCAGTGAGAAATCATAGATACTCCGAAGACTTGGTTCATGTAGTATGTAACAAAATTACCTTCTTAATACCAAACTAGATAGGAATTAATAACTAGGCAGTTTTCTGATTTAATGTATGTTCCAAAGCTTTGGAATGTTGGGTGGAAGAAATTGTACTTATCTATAATGTCAAATTTGAGAACATTAAAACAGTCAAGTAGATGGTGCACATCTGTAATCTCTGCTACGTGGGAGGCCGAGATAGGGGAATTGCAAATTTTATTGCAGATTTACCAACACTCTGTCTCAAAATAAAATTTAAAGGGCCACATATATAGCTCAGTGCTTCTTGGGTACAATCCCCATTAGTAAGGGAAGGAAAGAGGAAAAAAGATATGAGGGAAAGGCGGAAACTAGTGAAGAGGTTGACTTACTGATTAAAATAATTATTAATTCATATGATGCCATTTACTTTACAATATATATATTTGAAGAAAAAAATTTTAGCATTGGGAGACAAATGGGAGGCAAAAATCCCAGCTCTCAGTTTTGTAACTACTTTTAAATTTTATATTCAAAAAATATTTCCAAAATCTACTCTTGTAAAATTATTAAAATCTTTCACTATTTAACCATAAAGGCTCTTATCATAATCAATTTTATGTGGTATCCCAAGTTCCAATCAAAATCATACTTGTGTACTGTTTAGCACTATATGAATACATATGTTTAAAAACTAGCTATGTGATCCAAAATGTTTCCAAAGTTTTTGACCAACTCTGATAATAGATTAAAATTTTTATCTTAATTATTAAAATGATTTTTTTCAGTTTTCCACTTTTTTCTAACTTTATAATACATAAAGACCATATACAGTGGGCTGGGTTCAGGTTGGTGGTTCAAGCGCTTGCCTGCTAAATGTGAGGTCATGAGCTCAATCTCTAGTACAAAAAAAAAAAAGAAAAAAAACCATAAATGATTTCTTAAAAGGTTATTTTTACATACCTGGAGGTCTTTGGTTATGAAAGTACAAAGGAGTTTTTTGTTAGTAAGCAACAGTTAAAGCACATGTGTATCTTGAGAGTGTATTAAAATTGGTTTTAAGAAAAAGACCATTTTTTGACCAATAGGCGGTGTATCCTGCCATTCCATGTGTTAGTATCATGAAAACGCCTCTCTTTGATATAAGCACTATTCAAATTGTGCTTATTATACAAATGTTTTTAACTTCTAATTAAAGCATGAAGTTACATAGGCTAAAGAAACCATTTGGGTCTTTTATGAGTCATTTAATTTCTGTCTTTTTTATGCCTGTACATCTTGAACATGTGAAATGAGACTAAGTTACTAAACTTTTATGATGAAAAAGAAGGTGTATGTCACACTAATGGTAGGATTAAAATATGATTTCTGTCGTGAGCATGTTACTATCATCGTAGACACCTGGAAAAGTGAGTGTCTCCAAAAGTCTAATACAACTTACACATGCTCTTTAACTGTATTTCCATATCCAGTTGTTGCAACTATTTCAGACAGAGTGTGAGCAAGATCTGCATAGGGAACACTGCATGTTCTCAAGTCATTGCCCCATATTAATTAATGCATCCCAGGTGGTGGTTATGCAGCCTTAGGGTCTGCTACACTCTGCCCATCCTAGGACGACTCTCTCTTTATAGACCATAAACCTTCAGACGTTTCCTTCTCCATTAAGTTTATCGTGACTCTACTGCAGCAATCATGCAGGTGGACCAGAAATATTAGAAATTTATAAAACTAATGGTGAAAATGTTTGAGCAGTTTTCATTGTTTCAGAATATTTAAGAGAAATCACAAATTTCACCATGATCAGCCTACACAGGCTTAACATAGGTATAGAGATTTAACATAGGTATAGAGATAGGACAAATAGGTAGACAGATTTAACATAGGTATAGAGATAGGACAAATAGGTAGATAGTAGTTAGTTAGTTGGTGGCCAAAAGTCCTTGTTGACATAGTTATTTTATATAACCCGAAGCTTTTACTTAGTAAAAATGGGAAATAATTTTTAACATACGCAGTTTGGGAGATAAAATCTTTCATAACATGAGATGCTTTTGAGAAACAATAAGAGGAGCCGCTGGTGATTAGGGAGGGTAGAAGAGGCCGGCATCAGTACTGTGTAAAGACATACTCTATAGATACATATGAAAGTCCTACATTGTTGGTTATATTCGAGGGGGAAAAAGAAAGATTTAATGAAGAAAATTATCAAAACTGGGTGTTTATATAAAACACCCAGTGAAGATTGCCTTTCTTTCTAATTATTTCTTTCTTAGTATTGCCTTGAGTAAGGCAATTTTTTCCCCATACTTTGTTTAGTCCTCATTGGCCTGAATCCTAATACTTACACTGTACTTAGTTTGTAATACTGGGATAACTTTCTTCCCCTTAAGATCAGGACACAAATAGCTATGTATAAAAGTGAAAATTATCATTTCTCTTAACAGCTGTGACATCTTATGAAGATCTTGGACTCTTTGCATTTGGATTCCCTGGAAAGGTAACTTTATTTTCTTCTCATTTTGTCCAAAACTCAAAAAGGCATTTTTCTTGTGCTTCAAGTTAAAAGAGATTATTACATATAAAAAAAAAACCTTAGGATTATAGAAGAAAATGAAAGTAAGAAAAAACAGAATGATGAGAGCAAGGAAAGAAAGAGGAAAAAAAATCTGTATACTCTTCTCATCAATAAACTTAATTCAGTACTGAAACCTTTTAATACATCTTATCCTAATGAAGGAAAACAATGACTTGATGAATTTCAAGACAGTAACAGTACTCATTTTAAGTATTCTTATTAATATTGTGTTTTCCTAATACATCCTCATAAAGACAGAAGAAAACTATAGAAATAAAATTATAGAAGGTCTTTTTCAAAAGCGCTAATTCAAAGGTTGTATTACTTAACAGTTAAACAGTGCTAAAATATTGTCTAGGTCTCCCATCACTGGTGGATAAGAAAATTACGGATCCAATCAGTTAAGGGCCTACTTACCTATAATTATGTATGGCCATTCCACATCCAAGAACTCAAAGCTCTAAAACTACTGCTTTTCCAAATAGCAAATATATCAACATTTATTTTCTATTCATATTCCAACTAATTCCAGTTCTGGGAGAAAACATTGTGGTTTTCCACAGGTTAACAGGAATAAACACTTTGCTACTGGTGTTATAATGTTTTTTTCTTTTGAAAGAGTTACTATTCTTTTTTTTAGTTCAAAAAAAGAATTTTCTGTCTGTAAATACTTGTATTTTTATTGCTTTTTAATTGACAAAATTTTGCATATTATATCTAGCATGTCACTTTGAAATGTGTACATTTTGCAATGGCTTAATTGAGCTGATTAATATGTACATTACCTCACATAATTATGTTTTATTTTTAATCTAAAAGAGTACCATCCTGTAGATGGCTAATTTCTACAGAGTGAATCTGAGAGGAAAAAGATACAGCTATAAAATGGGAAGGAAAATCTGTACATACATTCCAATTAACTTTGCTTTTAATGTACAGAAAGAATGTCTGATGAACGAGGTAAACTTGTGACTCAAATCCAAATAACCTAAAACTTGGACAAAACAGAGACTTTTCCTATATGTAGTTTAATCAAGAAAAAAGAAAATGTTATGATACAAGAAAACTCTGTATTTAATATGATCCATAAACATAAATCTGGGTGTCATCACTGCCATCATCGTCATTTCACACTAGGATTTCCTGCACCTTGTGTAGCAGTGGTCTAAAATGGAGAGTGTGAGCTGCGTTTGGTGAGGCACTCCAGGAAGCTGAGACAGGAGGTTTACAAGTTTGAGTCCATCCTGGGCAGCTTAGCAGTTTAGCAAGACCCTGTCTCAAAAGCTGGTGAGTGAGGGAGTGTGTTGCTCAGTGCAAAAGCTTGGGTTCAATCCCTGGTACCAGTGAATGAATGAGTGAATTTTTGAGCCTCCTTTTCCTTAGATTCTAGAGTAGTTACATTGTAAGTTTAACATGTATACCATTGATAAAAGGCAAGAACACTACACAATATACTCTGAATAAAGAATTGTTGTTATTTGTTTACTTCCCACCTCCACAACTGGGTTGCAACTTCTCTGTTTTCTTCTCTCCAGGCTCAAAGGCTAGGTGCAGGCCAAGGTGATACACCCAACACTATCATTTCCTTTTAGGCAGTGCAGCATTGGCAATGCACACCACAAACTATCTTGTTCTACCTACTACTGCAGTGTGATAAAACCAGGAAAAAAGGAATTGTGATACTCCCCAATTGATTTTCAACTTTTTGTACTTTGATAATCGTTGATGACACTACCTTTGAACAGTTTTTTTTTTTTTTAAATCAGGTACCGGGGATCGAACTCACGACCGCACACTTGCAAGGCAGCTACTTATGCTGCTGAGTTAAACCCGCAGCCCCCACTTTGAACAGTTTTAACTGTTCAAAAATGACTCCCAAGAACATTTTCAAAAATTTTGTTTAGAGTAACTATGGAATTATTAAAGACATTTTATAAGATGTTTAGTCTTTTTATGTATTATAAATAGCTGGCAAAATGTATGCTTTATAATTTCTTCACTTTCTGTTTGGGCATCTGTTTTATAGTATTATTATTGAATGTTAATAAAATACTGACCTTTTATATTTTCCTTTTTATTTTCTGAATACATTTGTTCTTTTATAGGTGGTGGTAGCAGGCACCATAATAATTCAGAATATTGGAGGTAAGTAATTGAAACTGCATTGCTTAGGATAGATGTGATGCAAATAAATATCTTTGAACTTGCTGTACTTATAATGCCAGCACTTGGGAGGCTGAAGCAAGAGGATTGTCACAAGTTTGAGACCAGCCTGGGCTACATAGTGAGTTCAAAACCAGCACTACATAATAAGATCCTTTCTCAAAAACAAAACAAAAAAATTGTCTTTGGTTTCTTGACTTGCTGCAGGTTTAGCTGGAAACTGAATTGTGAATCTCTGTAGACACAGAATCTCAGAAGCCTTGTGTGTTGGCTCATTAGTCTTTCTTGGAAACTTTTTAGCAGCGCTTTTAGTAATCTTTCTAAATTCAGTTCTAGTTAAACCTTGATTGCAGTTTCGTTACTAAGTCTGCGACACACCTTTAAAGCTTTGGCTTTTTTGTGATTGTGATGGTGATAGGGTACAGTTTGGGAAAACTCTCCAGTTGATTCTGAATTATTTCCTCTACCGTTGTCCTTTTAATTACCCCATCCCCTGGCTACTTCAGAGGGAAGTGAACAGTGAGGTGTAGACTGACTGTGTCCCCTTGTAACTAAGAAACTAAAAATGACCAAATGGAGGCTGGGCTGGGGTATAGGTAGCTTTGTGAGAGCATTCACAAGGCCCTTGTCAATCACTGGTACTACCAAAAAGAAAAAAAATAGGTTACAAGACCAAGTGGTTTAAAAAAATCCGAGACAATAAGCATTCTGATGTTATCCTTTACCTAATTTCTGTTAAAAATGACCCCAAAAACTTTTTGAGAACTATTTAGAAATAAAAATTATGGTTAATTATAGAGAAGTGACTAAATATATTCAACACCTAAATCCAAGATGTGGGAACTGTGTGTATATATGTCATGACAAGGTGCATGAAGCTTAACAAGATTAATTTTCTTCTGTTGTTGACTGGAGCCCTAAACAAATGTTATTAAAAAGAAAATGCAGATAGAAGATGACATGCTACTTGGACCTTGTACAATATTGTACAGTCAAAGGAAGTTTCAATCTCTTTGACTTAAGTACATGTGACAGTTTAAAATCATTTAAAGATGACAGTTTCAGTAAAGTTCAATTTAGGAATGCTCTGCTATTTCTCAAGTATTGTTTGGCCAAATTCTATCTTTAATATACTTCTTGGTTAAAGAAAAAACTTTACCATCCCATCAATGAATTGTGCTTGCCATTGTTTTGAAATCTTGAATATTCATGTTTTGATTCTTTGAGTTTTCATGAAAAAATACATTGTTGCCTGAGAAGAATGCTTGCTTTGATGATGATACCAAATCATTTTCTTCCAGCATGCACTATTTCATACCTGGCAATCAAGAAATTTAGTCTCTTCCTATAGGAATTTTTATAGTACCATTGATTCAAAAGTATGCTTAGAATAATTTGTCTTTTTTAGCAAATATGTATTGCTTGACTGCATACTCATAAAGTTTCTGAATATAAATGTATATTTTTATTTCAGTTCCTAATTATCCTGTCTACATAATACTACAAATCATCACATTTTGTCTACCTTTAAGTATTACTTACAATTTATATAAATTTACAGTTCAAGAATTTGAATCCAAATTTGTGACCTTAGCACACTATGCTCCCTGTTAACACTGTCTATGTGTATATTTCATCTTGATCCTTTCCTTGTTCTCTAATCTTGTTTGGACATGACTCTTTGTTAGCACTTGACTGTTAATAGATTGACGTTATCTCTGTATACATTTGTCTCTCCCATTTTATTGTAAGCTCCTTCAGGGCAAAGATTATGTCTCATTTCTCTTTGTACTCAGGATCTAAGACAATACCTAGGACTTTATAAACCTTTGTTGATTTGAGTGGAGATAAAATACTTTGTGGATGAGCTATTTCCAAGGATCTTTTAAATATTCTGAATATAGTTCTCAAGAAAAAAAAAAAAGAACGCTAGATCCATCACTAAGCTTCAAGTGTTTGAAAGGCTGATCATGAAATATATAAAAGTGACTAGATTGTTTTCCCAGAAAAGAGAACTGATTCTAATGGATAAGGGGCCACAGAGAAATTAGTTTGGGTTTCTTCTCTGGAATACTGCCTTAGTTTGTTTGGTCCTTCCACAGACTGAGGTCATTTATAATGAACAAACTTATTTGGCTTTATGGCCAAGAAGTCCCAAATCAAGAGACCACGTCTGGTGAGGATGTTCTTACTGGGCTGTATAACACAATGGAAGGTGTAACTTGGTGAGAGAGAGCCCGACCGAACTCTCAGGTCAAGCCCTTTTTTAATGAGCATAATTCCACTCTTGAAGGTGGAGCCTTCGTGCCTGAACACTCCCACAGACCACCTCCCCACACAGCTGCATCAGGGTTTATACTTCTGGCATATAAACTTTGGGAGACAGTCAAACCATAGCAGCTACCTCGTAATTAAGCTTTGTATTAGTGGAGATTGTCTACACTCCTCTGAAAGTACTCCATATCCCTGAAAATATTCAAACAGAACTTGCGGGTTAATCTTGAGAATGTTTTGGAGGTTGGATTTGGTGGTATCTCAGGCACCAATTCTCTGAACTCTTTTAAGTTTGTTGGTTTGCTTATATTAGAACTGTCAAAACATTGATTTAGAAGCAGTCATAGCAGTTTTTAATGTCCCTCAAAATAAAAAAACTAGTGATGCACATTTAGTCATTACAATAATGTTCTCATGATTTTCTTTGTGTTGGTTATTTAGAACCCACTGACTAATAACTGAAAACATGTTTCCAGAGATTTTTCCTTTTTTAGCCAGATGTGCATAAATTATAATAGAGTTTGAAGATTACTCTTAAGAGCAGAACACTGGGTTGAATATTAGGTACCTTAAGGTCTCTATACCAGTCACTGCTATTGGGCAGGTATGTGTCTTCAGGAAATACCTCAACTACTCTCTTGGCTCTTTGTTAAATTGTTTTAAGGTGGGAAACAGAGAGCTTAGGGTCCCTTCTTAATTTGCCACTTTGAGAAGCACATTGATATTTTAATATAGGAAAGGTCTATGAGGGAAGATTTGTATTTGAGTTAGGTAATCATGCCTTAGGTTAATTCTTCTATTATTCTTTGTAACACAAAAAAATGTCTCAGTCTTTTTGAGATACTATGGTACTGACAAATCTAATGGGTAAAAAAAATGGAAGAAACAGGCTTTTGAAAACATAATGACCGTAAGTTGGTTTTAATCAGTATTTGTTACATGGGGCTTTTAGTGAAGAACCAGTTTATTCCCCACGTCTCGATATTTTACATGTTAAAGTAATTTGTTTTAGGTCCCTAATAGGCATTGAGTAATATTTGTTATAGGAAGAAAAGGAGTGAGAAGGAGTGGGAAAAGCTAGCAAACTATTTTAATATCCTTTGGGAAGAAAAGGCAAGTTGTCTGATCAGAAGATACATAGCACAAGGTTTCTTTCAGAAAGAGCCTCCTCTCTGAACTTTAGACACCCTGCCCAAGGCCAGCCAGACACAAAATACTAGTCTTAAGACACTAGTGTGAGCTAACAAATTGAAAAATTATATCTTCAAATAATTTAAATTTTATAATAAAAAAGTAGAACTCTAAATTTAGGATTATCATTTTAAGATTATGAAAATCTTTGCCTTTGGAGAACAGAAAACCATAGTAAAATATCACCGATTTCACATCTCTCCTAGCAGTAATGAACTGGGGATCTGAAAAAGGCCATTTCTAGAGTTAGCCTTCCGCTGTCTGTCTCTTCAGGAGCTACCTTAGCATTTGCTGAGAGCCACTGCTACTGGAACAGTCAGAAAGGTAGCATCTGGAAGTTTTGATACTTAATGATGTTATAGGCAAGAGAATTCTGGCTTAAAGAATTTGAATTTGGTAAAGTAACTAGTAAAAGGGTTAAGAACTGTAGTAGAAAATAGCTACAGTATAGGCGGTTTCCACGTCACTCTGTTACATTATGTGACTTTTCCTGAACTCCCACGATAGACCATTCACCAGGCTAGGCTATCACTAGAAATCAAACAGTAAACTCCACCTCATTTTCTTAGTTAAACCAGAGGAAGTCCAGCTCTTACAAGTACAGGATAAAAGTGAAGTTAGTTGTTGTTATTTCTTGTTTGTTATCTTGCTCAACTCGAAGCATGAATAGGTGAGTGGCTCCTAGGTGTATATTAAGTTCTTGTTTTGCTTTTGTTTTTGTTTCTTGGTACTGGGGATGGAACTCACGACTTTGCGTTTGCCAAGCAGGCACGCAAGCCACTGAGCTAAACCCTCAACCCCTTCTTTGGCTTTTAAGGAGAATCACTACAGATAGCATTCTTGCTCCCTAGTTTTTAAACCCCAGTTCCTTAAATGAGATTAAAATGTATCATTGCTAAACACTGAAAGAACCCTAAATGTTTGTTAGTCTTTACTTCCTGAAATTGCTAGAGTGACTTGGATTTTTCCAGTCTGGCACAAAATCCACAGTCTACTCTGGCAGCCTTGATGAATAATTCAGTGTAGGAATCTAAGCTTTAAAAGAAATGCACCAAATCTTAGCTCAGTTTTGTGCTTTGGGGTGGGGGGTGGGTTGAAGTGCTGTGTGGCTTTGTGTCGTCCCTTGGGACTGGGGCCGCACACGCTGTTTGGTCGCCATCTGCTGGTCTGTTCATCTAACCAAAGGACGGCTCTTTTAAAGAGCCTGAGCAGTCTTGTCCCCAAATTCTAGCAAACATGCCTTAGAAGTACAGGAAATCTATGGAGAATCTTTTTCACAAGTACTTCCGTTGACAAAAATCTACTAATAACATATCATTTTAAACAGGTTTCCAAAATGATGTATTTCTTAATAATGATTTCTATTCATATTTAACTGTAAGATTTTCAGAATAGTAGATATATTCTGGTCACTTTGTATTTGAACTGAAGGGCTTAATAAATGGTAAAGACATTTTTAGGGTTGTGAGGAAACATTTTCCACTGTGTAGTTTGATTTCCATTTGTGTACAAATTGACATTTTTTCAGAATTTTTTTAAGGAGACTACATACAATTTAATTGAGGATAGAATTTCAGTGGCATTTTTGACATTTAGTGGAAACACAAGGTTAATAAGACATGTTGAATAAACCCGTTATTATCCATGACTAAAACAAGATTGGAGTAAAATTGAATCTTATAAATGGAAAGACAAACTTATGATTTCCTCCCATAGTACATCTGTTTGTTGAGGGCTGACTAATCCTTTAAGAAGTTGCTGAACTTCCCCCAAGTGCTAAAAACCTAATTCTGTTTTAAAAATAGCTGTAAGTAATGCTATCGTCATACATGTATTTTAAGTGTTCAACAAAATGGATAATTATTTTTGTGAAGATTTCTTCAGCCCAAACTTAATTAAGTCTTTTTCTTTTCTAAGGTTGTACAGTGTGGCAAATTGAGAAACATTTTCAAAGTGTTAGGGGGAAAACACTGCCTGAGAGTGCAGACTGGAGCAGAGTGAAGTCTTTAGATTTCAGTGTACTTCATTAAGTCTCAAATATGTGAAAGTAGGAAGATTTGTTTTCAGAATTATAATGTTGTAAATGTAGCCGGATCATGGTGGTAGATGCAGTAAAGTCATATCCTTGAAACTCAGTGAATTTTGAACTAATCATTTCATCAGTCTAGCCTCAAAGTGGAAGTGGAATGCATTAAGAATGTATCTTAAGGTGTAATGAAAATTACATTGCCCTTACAGTCTCTGGCTAACATTTCATTAATGTTTTTGTTATAGATTCTTTATTTTGTTTGAACCCAACTGTTATACTCACCAATCAGAAGCAGTTTTTTTGCTTAAATGATGAGGAAAAGATACTAAAGAATAACCCTGGAAAGGGGCCCTTCTGGTAGCGCTTTCTTGTTTTTCTTTGCTTTGGTTGATTGCTTCTGCGCTTCCTTGCTGCACTGTGCACTTACCCTGCTCATTTACAGAGTGAGTTTCTTAAGCCACGTTGGCTGTTTCCACCATCACTATTTTAGGCCAGTTACCTCGTTGTGCGTCCGTTTCTTCATCTGTGAAATAAATAGTATCTCCCTCTCAGGTTTGGGGGAAAATTAAGTGAGGAAATAATTATCATCTCTCTGACAATACTACCAAGCATATACCAGCACCCAGATCCAAAGGGGCCAGCTGTTTTCATGGTCTGCTATGAGCCCTTTTGCTTTTCCCTAATGTCTCTCAGTTTAATCCTATGATTTAAGTCAACCAGTATTAATACCTTATACTTGTTGTTGCTTAATCAGATTTACCCTACTTCAGTCCTTTGTTAATATAAAACATGTTGCTTCTCCACATGTTTGTAAAGAATGCTTTCAATTTCTGTGTTTTGGCTAGATTGACAGATTTTTTTTTTCTTAATTTCATTCCCAAGACAGTGCCTGGGAAATAAGTTTACTAGTTATATTTAAAATGAAAGAGAAAACGAATACCTATTTAATTGATGTGGTGAAACTAAATGATTTGTAATGACTAATAACTGTCATCAGAGTATACCTGTTAGCAGTAATACAGGCTTTCATGATAAGGCCAGAACTACTTAATTGTAAGCATGGTCTTATGGATGGCCCTGTTACAGCTATTAACTTAGAATACAATGTGGTGTGTCTTGTGTTCGGAGTCTATGCTATATGTTGATGTCAGCAAAAATCATTTACAAATTTTTGCTTATGACCTGTCTTCAAGATGATTCTTTAAACATTTCCTTATGTCATTGATAGAAGACAGGAGACAAAAGGTGTGTGTGGCAAACTGCTAGCTATTGGACATAGTGAACCTTTTAGTGAAAAACAATGAATATATGAGCTGTCCTGCTGATATTCTATCTTCACAAGTTTTCCAATGTATTTGATTGAGTGAATTGTACTTTTATGTGAATGAAAGATGTATTTCCTAATTTATTTTTGGTAATTTTTTTGCCTCTTCTCCTTGTTATATATAATGTGCTATGCTGAAGTGGTAGTCTTTGTGTGAAAAGTTTATTTGTGGTTAAGAAAAATAATTTTAGCAGTAAGTAGGAGGGTCTTTCTTTGTTTTACTTGCTTAGCAAGTGGAGTTTTTCCTCTATGGAGAGCTCTGATTTTACAGCCTTTAACACATATACCAACATTCAGTTACAAAGCAGTATTTTGCATGTTTTATTATATTTATGTCTTGTATGTTGAGGTCTTTTTTTGAGAGGGAAGCATATGTTTGGTGAGTTCATATTTCTTAAAATATACATGATTCTTCAGACTGGGCAAATGAAATAGGACTCCTATTTGAAACCCAAAGAGAAAAGGCTACAACAGAGAATAAAAGTGATCAAATGACTAGCCAGGGGCTAATAGGAATTCTGGAAAGAAGGGCAGATTGAGTATTAGAAAGAAATATGATCTCATATTCACTGAAGCTTTTTACAATGGAAAGTCAAAAAGAAATAATAGAAAATTACTGAAAGAGGTGAATGTCTGAAACTTTAGAAATGCACACGATGTTGGATTAATTCAGACAAGAAAGACTAATGGGCAGGTTACAAATTACATTGTGTTGGAAATCTGCATTCACTGATTTGAAGGTACTTTTTTTTTTTTTATCTTTTTCTTCCTTCTCTCAAAAAGTTGTAGGCCAGTTTCAGAAAATTCAGTTCATGATTTTCATCACTGCACCATATGTGTGTTGTTCTTTGGAATAGATAAAATATTATAAGACTCAAGTCCTGCATGGAGATTCATGTAACCCCTCCTTCTCTTCTATGCCAAACTGATGACTTATTATCCTGTGAGAATATGGACAATATAGAACATATTTTTACAACCAATTGCAACCATTTTCACAACCCATAACTAAAAGACTGTGCAAAACAAGTCTCCATGGGGGGCTGGGGATTTAACTCAACGGGCATAAGTACCTGCCTTACAAGCATGCGGTCATGAGTTGGATCCCCCATACCGATAAAAATGAAAAAGAAAATGAAAATTGAAATGAAAATGAAAAATGAAAATTTGTTTTACCTTTTCTTCTTAATATTAACAAATAAAGTAATTTATAAAACAAATGAAAAAGACAAAAAAAAAACCATAAAAAAAGAAAAGTCTCCATGGAATTTTAGTCAACAGCTATATTTCTTCTGAGGAAAAATAGTCATGAACTGAAAAATGTATATATGTATATTTTCATTAAGAGAAGAAATTTTAGCTGTTCTAAATTTTACTTTGCCGTAGACATACAGTATTTTACAAAAAAAATTCAAGGATATATACAGTATTTGCATGTTAGTGTAATAGACTATCTTCATACAGATTTATATATAAACTAATGTATGTTCATCTTTTTCACCATAGTTAAAGTGTCACGTTGTAGCAGTTATGTATAATTACACAGCAGTTGTAAAGTTCAACTACTCTTTAATTGGTTCATGGAGAAATACACATTCTTCTTAAACTATTGAGCCTTTTTATCAAATTTTCCCCAGATTTGTATCATTCCAACTTGGCATTCACTTGTGTTCTTAGTTTTATAGGTCTGAGGAGAAAGTGAACTGTTTCCTGAAATGTAAATAAGTAATAAAATGAATGTGCACACAGAGCATACTCTTCATTCTTCATGAACATTTTCTTGGTGGCTCTTTTTTAAAAAATATATACTTAATCTTTGGAGGAGAGATTGTTGCTCTGTTAAACTGAGGTTCTGAATCTAAATCACACATAGAGTATTTAAGCTTACACTCAAGTATTTGCATATAAATTCTACTCCTGTCCATATTAATGATGGAAAGTTTATGGAGTTTGTGTTTTTATAGCTACATCAGAAATATTGAATCATTTTTAAAGTACTATAAAAGCTGGGTTGTTTCTTAGATCTATCAGATAAAATGTGAGAAATAATGCTAGCTTCAGGGTCTGATTGCATAATATAGTGAACTCTCAATATAATCGAATAAAAATGGGAAATTCTATCTCTTCAGTGTGCTAATGGTGTCTAGTGAATCTAATGTTTTAGAGGGTGACAAGTATAATTTATTATTTATTCTGTTTTTACTATATAATAACGTGTTTATAATATGGTGTGGATAGCAAGAAGAGAGAAGAGAAAGTACGAGAAGGAATGAAGTTTTGGAATGAGTGTGTCTTCCTAGTAAGAAATAAGAAATAAAGTTGTTAGTCATACTTCTTTTTTTTTTCTTTTTGTCTTTTTCCTTTTTCCTTTTTATCGGTACCAGGGATGGAACCCAGGACTGCCTGCTTGCAAGACTAAATCCCCAGCCCCCATTAGTCATACTTCTTAAACTTCTGTTTCTATGTCAGTGTTGTCTTGTGAGGAGAAATAACATGTAAAAACTTTTGTAAGACTTCAAAAAGAATTTATTTGTAAATGGGTCTACAGTTAAGACCCTTTTTGTTTTTTAAATTGTTTGCTTTGAGAACCTGGGATTTAGCTCAGCAGCATAAGCACCTGCCTGGCAAGCATGAGGTCATGAGTTCGATCCCTGGTACCTAAATATGAATAAATAAGTAGCTTGCTTTGGACTTGAAATGAACACACAATGTACTCACTGTTCTTCTCTACAAAGTTATTATCTCCATTCCTGGTATATATATCTTTGGGACAATACACGGTGAATTAGTCTTCCATATCTTGCCATAGCCCTAATGAACATCTGTGTCCCTGGATAGATTACTTCTAGCCCTCATTCCCCTTCTCCAACCCACATGCACACACAAACTGGTGATTGAACCCAGGGAGCCCTGAGCTGTAGCCCCACCCCTTTTTAAAATTTTGTTTTAAGACAGGCTCTCCATGACTCAAACTAGCCTCAAACTTGTGATCCTCCTGCCTCAGCTTCTTGAATAGCTGGAATTAAAGATACGAGTCATCATGCCCAACAGATTACTATTTGATAAATGATTGAAAATTATAGAATTCTAACAGGAACTGTTATTCTTTTTGCAGCTATGTCATCTTACCTTTTAATTATTAAAACAGAGCTTCCTGCTGCTATTTCAGAATTTTTAACAGGAGACTACAGTGGGTGAGAAAAAACATTTCATATCATGTCTGTTTATTAATTTGTTAAATTCTACTGGCAAGTGAAATAAATGTGGTCCTTTTTTCCATATGACGTTTACAAATTAGATGGGGAGGAGCAAAGTGGAGAAAAAACAGTCTGCCAGTGCTTGTTCACTGCCTGCTGTGTTCAAAGCTCTGTGCTGGGGCTGTGTGAATCGCAGCTGGCCTCCGCCTCCTCCCATGTGAGTGCTAGACAAGTCAGAACTGTGGAAGAGCGAGGGACTGCCCAGGACTGCACGAGTGGGGTGGGGCTGGGACACAATGAGAGTACCACGGGTACTTAAACAAAAGAGGGAATAAATAAACTCTGCTGTCACCTCTCATCAAGTCATAGTGACAAGGAATGTGGCAGTTACAGCCACACCTGTGAGGTTCATATTGTACAGCACAATAAAAAATGCCTTATGCAGACTTAATTGCTTCATTTCCTATTTAGTAAAACTATTATGAACAATTCCAAATCAAGTATACTTTCCCCTTTTTAAAAACAATGGGGGCCAGGAGTTTAGCTCATCAGCGTAAGTGCCTGCTTGGCTAACACGAGGTCATGAGTTCAATCCCTGTTACCAAAAACAAATAAATAAATAAGTAAAAATAAAAAACAGTTCTGGGTCCTACAGACTATATTAACACATGTCTTTAATGGGGAAAAAAAAATCCCCAAGTTCTGTTTTTCTTTGTATATGACAAGGAATTTTTTTAGAAAAATAAATTTGAAAAGGTGATAGATCTTTTTAGTTGTCAGGTTATCTCATATAATTTTCAAACCACAACACAAAGCCTATCAGACTTTTAGATGTAAATATATTATTATTTTGCCCATTGGAGCAAAGTACAGGGAAAGTTTTCAAAATTTTGTTTTTAATACTTTGGCTTCCATGGAAGAATTCCATTTAGACAAAGGCAGATACACATTTTTAAGAATAGTATGATTACTTTAGATCTGAATAGGAACCATCCAGAAAATGTGGTTGAAAAAAGGAGGTAGAGATCCTTAATGATCTATCATCAGAAGTTGTATCTTTTTATAATACTTTTTAGTTCGTGAGGTCTCCACATTTATCATATCTGATGCTCTTAACTATCTTGATTTATCTTCAGCTTTATCTAGTTACATTTTTATCTTATGCTTGTAATTTGATAAATGATTGCTATAAGAAATAGCTACATAAAATTTACTTTTGTATTTGCTGGAAGAATATTGAAAATAAGTTCTGTTACTCTAATTCTATGTGAGAATTTCTAATGTAGGTCTAAAAACTCAAGGCAATATGAGGTGGAATAAAGAACACTTAACTAAGAGTGAGGAAACATGTTCTATTGGTTTCATATTAACAATAAGTTAGTTTTTTTTGTTGTTGTTTTTTTTTTTTTTTTTTTTTTTTGTGGTACCAGGGATTGAACTCACAACCTCGCACTTGCCAGGCAGGCCCTTATGCCGCTGAGCCAAATTCCTGGCCAAGTTAACTCCTTTATTACCTACATTAGTTAACTTTGAGCCTTTGATTTATTTACCTGGCAAAACAGGGATACCAGTATTGCTTTCTTAACAAAATTATTGAGATGATCAGATAGGTTATTATACATACACATGCTTATATCACACTATGAGATTATAGCTTAATGTTAATGTGGGTAATTAAGAAATTCCAATGATAATGACATTAGGGGTGGTCTTTTTTCTTTTGCTGACTGCCAGGAAGCCCAGAATTGAATGTGAATGTATTGCAAAATCTCTATTAATCCTAATAGTTGTCATGTGTGTTTTTTGTTCTTTTGATCCTGTTTTATGTCTTTTACTTACCCTTTTTTTCCATTGTCATGTCTTTGTAGAAAAAGGAAGGATATAAATACATGTACATTTTTAGAAGTAAATAATATGTGACAGAACTGACATTGAAATTTACAAGTGTTCTCTCTCTGAAAGTGATCTTTTTACTGTAACTTCATTTTAAGTTGCCATTCATATTGTTGGACTTTTTTTCTGGTTTGTTTTTTTAAAAATTAAGATTTACTATCTCACATAAGTAGAAAATGGATTATACTGTTTTTGTGCGTCAGAACTCTATTTCTAAAGCTGCATCCTTCAAAACACTGGCCAATTTGCATCATCACTGTTTTAAAACTGTAAATCTTTCTCTTTAACATTTTCACACTTTTGAATGCTTTATTCACTTCTTTTGGATTTCAGTTTTGAAACACTTTAGTAAATGACTATATTAGAGAACAACTAAAACATCTTTAAAGCTTAGTGTTGCAAAGTAACTAAGAGAAAATTGTTGTGATAAGTAACTTTACTATTTTAGAGCAGCTTATTTCTAAATATAGTTACAAATGTAGTGCTATTTTTTTTCTGTGAGATCTACATGATACTGATGTACCTTTATTTTAGGATTTGATGTACTGTAATTTCCGTTAAAATCTATTAAGTGTCCTTATTTTCTGGATTATTAATGTGTTCAATATATCTGTGAAATATAAGCTTTCATAAAGATTTTTAAAAAGAAACTATATTCATTATATTCAAATCTCAAAATTGTTATTAAAAATAAGATATAATGCTTATATTGGACTTTAAGGATGCATGTATATTTTTCATAGAATAAACTTACATTTTTAAATCTATGGCTGTTAAAAGTTGGAAGCTGTATGTTAACATTTAATGATCTTGTCAGGGGAATATGATTGACACAATTAAGTTGTCTTGCATTTGAGTTACATAATTGATATGGGATGTGAGTAAGATCTTAATTCAGACCATATGATACTGTTGCTCCATTCCATCCGAGAATGAAATTAAAGCAACTTATAAATAAATCTGGTTTTCATTAAAAATGGAAAAAACATCTGCATGCCAAAGCATTTTCAATAGAGCTAAGGATTTATACTCTATATTTCATATTTGGAACATTTTTATCATATAGGATTAAATCCACAGATCAAACAAGTTTTCTAGGAAGTATAAAACTTTTACCCTAATTCTTTTGGCTTACAGAGAATGTGTCTTTAGATCACAGTAGGAAAACAGGAGTCTTGTTAGATAATTCTTTTTCCCCTCTTAAGAAAAATTTTAAGGTTAGTACTTTTCTGAGCTCTTGGTTTACAAGATGAGGTTTATTTAACATGTACTTTTTAAGATTTCTTTTTACTCTTTTGTGTTTTTCAGACTAAGAATCTATTTTGTAAGTTTAATCACTTCTGTTCCCTGGAAAATAGCCATTGCCAAACACAGTTCAGTTGGATGTAATATGCACATAAAATCTAAACTACCTTTACCATGCATTGCTGTGTTGGCCTGTATTACTAATGAATGAAAGGTAAAAGAAAGCATGTTATCTATAATTGGCTTTATTAACATATATTACTAAGGATCAGAAATTATTAATAACCACTGATAGCAAAAGCAAAGACAAAAATTACATTTTACAAGAAAATCCCGTAAAAATGTAACTTAAGAATATAAAGTTCAGGCCAGTAGAGTATAAGCTTGAAATAAATGAGGCATTATCTAAAATATACTTTAAACCTAAAGTGACCATTGAAGTGTGAGAGAATAGTTCCATTACTACTGTCAAGATCACGGGCCTGATTGCTTATTTTATAGACATGTGAAATGAAGCTGCAGAGACAGATGCTCTCGAACTCTCTTACATCTCTAACATTCTGTAACTCTGTGATTCTAAGTTACTTTTGGGAGGAGATAAAGGTATCTTCAGATCCACAGTTCCATGTGAGTCTAGTGGACATACATGAATGGTGATCCAAAGTAGCATAAAGGACCTCTGTTCATAGTGTTTCTAAAAATGTTCATTCAATCTTATGCAAAAGAAAAAAGAGGCCTGATCCTGGGATTAACATGCTCCGTTTTGTGCAACTTTACCTCTGTGTTGTTTTGTTTTGTTTTTCCTTTTTAAAGAGTAAAGTTGGTTTTTATAATAATTTTTATCTTATTTATTTCAGTACAAGCTGAAATATAACCTCCTGACAGATATTTAAATATATAGTATAGTATTGTTACCTAGCAGGGAACTGACAGATGGAGTCTGCTTTGGTGCTCCCTTGGACCTATTTTCTCCTGGCACTGCAACTGTCTGGGTCTGATATTGGGTCCCAGAAGGAAAGCCTTTTCAGACATGGAGCCCTGGGCTTTATGCCAGCTTCAGAAATGTAGTTGCCAGGTGTTCCTCAGTGAGAGATATTCTGATGTTCTGACTTGTTTCTTGCTCAAAAGTGACAAGAACATAGATGTGCTGTATTTTTGGTCTTAATACTCTCTGTATTCCAGAAGCTAGGGACATGTGCAGTTGGAGAGAGCATAGTTTTTGGTCCTGAGAGTTATAACCCACGTGCTTACCTTATAGCTTCTTGCACATGCATTTCTGAAAGACTTGAATTAGGGGTAAAGAAAGGAAAGGTGTAATCATGGTGCTGCTTCTGCTGCTCTTTGTCTTGTTTTCTTAAGGAAGTTGTTGGAACCCAATAGAAATGATTCATGGTGCACTGGAGAGAACTTCTCACTAACCACAGTGTAGATGATGTATACTGAGCCCTAAGGACCATGGTAGAAGCCAAGGAGTGAATCTCATGTCGAGTAAAATCCCTTAGGAGACATTGGCTACCTGTTGAAAGTAACACTGGTTGCATTATTACAAAGTGAAAATAATGACTCATCTACCAAGTGATTTAAAAAAGCAATCTCTGTTGGTCTTTGATCCTCTCAGCTCTCCTCTTAGCATGAATTTTATTGTTTTACTGTGGTACACAAATAGACATACATACGTATACACACATACATGCATGCATGCTTTAGAGTAAAAATATGACCACTACTTACAGAAAATTTACAAAAAGAAAACAATAGCAAATACTGTATCATCTAACCTAATCTTTGTTCTTCTATTTTGAATTTTTCCCAACTTTTGAAAACAGAGAAGTTATATATTTTGTATTTATGTCATTAACATTTTCCGTTTTATCTTTTTAAAAAATTATGTAACATTCCATTGAAAATGCTATTATTGACCCAAATATTTTTTATTGTTAGATACATAATTTTCTATTCAGCTTCTTATTAGTAAAAGTGTTATAAGTAGTTTTTTTCTATTTTAGATAGTTTTCTTAGATTACCATTGCATTTTTATTGCTCTTGCTACATCTTGTCATTGTTTTTCCAATAGAGAATACTAATTGACAAGATCACTAGAAACTTATGCTGGGCCAATTATGCAGCATCCTTAAATACTATATTTTAATCATTTTTCTCAGTTAATTTCAACAATCTCATACCTTTAGTTAGCACCAGTGATTAGATTTTTCTTCATATATATTTACTACTTATATATCTTTCATGAATTGTTTCTTTTTTCCAGTCAAATCTATTAAGGTCTTGAGTAGTTAATAAATGTTTACACATGTATTTCATACTAAAAAATATGTATACATGTATGTGCAATCAAGGAGAAAATGAAAATCGCTCATATTGCTACCACATAGCAGTATCCACTTTTGCTATTTTAAGTACTGCATATCCTTCTAACTTTTTAAAAAATGTACATGCATGTTTTGTTTTGTGGTCCTGGGGATTAAACCCAAGGCTGCTGCACACTAGGTAAGTGCTCTATCACTGAGATACTTCTGGTGCTTTCCACCCACACTTTCTTTTTTCTGGAGACAGAAATTTGCTAAGTTGCCAAAGCTGACCTCACGCTAGCACTCCTCCAGCCTCAGCCTCCTGAGTAGCTGGGATTACAGCATTTGCCACCACACCTAGTGGTGGTTTTTGTTTTTCATATTTTTTAAAAGAGCAAACACATAATCACACTGCTAACTATCCTTTTTTTTTTTTTTTTCTCAGTATTCTAATGTCTTTACATGAAATGTTTTTTTGGTTTTTTGTCTTTTTCCTTTTTATCGGTACCAGGGATTGAACTCACAACTGCCTGCTTGCAAGGCAGGCGCTTATTCCGCTGAGCTAAATCTCCAACCCCGAAATGTTTAATATTTTTAAATCTAGTAACTCATGCCCATTTCCCTTTCCTAAAAACTTGGAAAAGTATAGAAAACTGCAAAGAAAAAAAATAACCTATTATTCTACTCTCCAGAGACAATGGCTAGCATCAATACGTCATAGTTTTGGGTTTTTGTTTGTTTGTTTGTTTTTGGGTTTTTTTGGTACTAGGAATCAAACACCCTCATGCTTGCCAGACAGGTGCTAAGCTAAATCCCCAGCCCCCATCATAGTTCCTTTCCATTTTTAATGCATCTGTGTTTTTCCTCAAAGCAGTACACATTAAACAAACAAATACCTGTGATGTTTGCTGAATGTTCAATATATTGGCATTTCAAAATTGCCATGATATTTGCAGTTTGTTTACAGTTTTCACTATTTTTAATGTTTCAGTTAAACATCTTTTTTACAAAAATTTTTGTTCTTATTGTTGATTATTTTTTCCTTTTTGATACTCGGGGTTGAACTCATGACCTCATGCCTGCCAGGCAGGCGCCTGTGCTGCTGAGCTAAATCCCCAGCACTATTTCCTTATTTCTAACAGTTTCTTATAAGCATTAAAGGACATAATTGTTTGAAGGATCTCAATATCTATTGCCAAATGGCTTCCCATAAAAATAATTACATAGTTTGTATCTTCACCAATGTTTTGCAAACGTCATCTCTGCTTATCAATGCTATTTCATTTGTAAAGTATTATTTTGAAAGTTGAAAAATGCATCTCATTGTTTTGATACATTTCCTAAATGTGAATCATTAAAGAGAATTATGGGACTCCATAAGTACGACTTTAACAAAAGAAAGCCGGTATTTCCTCATGGGTGACAGTGATGTTTGTAATATGTGCATGTGTGAATTAGAAAAAACGCTGGTGTCCTGTGCCTAAAACAGAGCATTTTTCTACTAGGTCTTGGTTTCTTGATGGACAAACACTGTTAATAATTATTTGTGTTGGCATTGTGTTCCCTCTTGCACTTCTTCCCAAAATAGGTAAGTCTTTGTAGGAAAACACTTATTCAGAAAAAAGAGAAATACTAAGAGGCTTTTAAATTTCACTGTACCACATTTGTAGCAGAAGAGTGGTGGTCGTGAATAATTCTAAACGTGGCCTTATTTTAGGTTGTTCAGCCTTCAGCCCTGCCTAGTTAGCCTATTACTTGGTTTGCAGTAGTATTTTGTCTGCCCCACTAAAATAAAATCTTTACAGCAGAACATTAAAGAGCAGCCGTTCCTTACAGTGTACCATTAGAGGTAAGCCAGTTCCAATTCTGCTGTACAGAGCTACATAAATGATCTGTGACAGATAGCTGGAATGTTGTTATTCTGAGCCCTAAGCCCCAGATACGAAGCACTGTAATAGAAAACATGCCCAAGATGTATAGCTTTAGTTGTATGTTAGGATCACTTTCCTTATAAATTGCTTTTTATTTTACTGTTATTTTACAGGCTTTCTTGGCTACACAAGTAGTTTATCATTTTTCTTTATGGTGTTCTTTGCTCTTGTGGTAAGTTTAAAATGTAATACATTGTTTATCTCCTTACTACAATTGGACTTGTGTTAAATGACTTTTTTCTTTTAACTGTTCTACAATGGAAGAGGTAGCCCATTTTATTTCCCTGTGTTATTTAAAAGCACTTTTATTCACAAAAAAATCATCATTTTGTTCCTGCATCATGTCCTGTCCTAAAAAGGCTTCACTGGAGCCACATTTTCAATTCAGCATCTCTTGCCAGTAACTGGAGAGGGAAGTACACCAGTTTTGTTTGTTAAAGCCCTGGAATAGAAATCTTTGCATAGGAATACCTGTTTATTTCTGTACAATATTATGCAAAGAATCAGTTGGGCTGTGGTCTGTCAAGTCAGTTTGAGACTAGTCATCTAAATTTGGAAACTGTGTTCTATTAATGAAACCTTGGTTTCTGATACTTGACCAGATCTAATAAAAATTGGGGACTTGAATACTCCCATCTGCTGTAGCTACTCAACATAGTCGCATTCTCATAAAAACAGTACTGGGAATAATTATTTTTGTTCACATGTGGGGTATATTTTTTTAATTAGTTCATTTTTATTGCAACATGAAATATGATAAATTTAACTTATCGTGATACTTACAATATAAAGATAAAAGAGAACTAGAATTTTTGCTTTCCTTTTAGTTCTAAAGCAGATCTTAACATTCTAAAGATGGCACTTTTGTTAATTTTTTTAAAAACCTGTTTTTCTTTACATAGCAGTGTATTACATAGCCAGTGTCTAAATGTGAAAAGAAATAGGATTAAACATTTTTAACTTGCCAAGAGTGTGCATATCCAAATAGCCTTTTCACAGGCTTTGTTAAACTCTCCCTCATTATTAAATGAATGAGAGAAAAATGCCACGTATAAGAACAAGATAACATATCACTGGTTAAGTCATACTAGCTAAATATCAAACCTGTCAATACAGGATGTATTGCATTTCACTTAGGTTCTACTGTTTGCTGACACACAGGGACAAAACAACTTTAAATTCCTCAAACAGAGCGGAAGTGACTAACTCCACTGTACCTAAGTGGTCATAGTATTCTGTTGGACACACTTAAAGCTGGAAATATTTAACTATTTATGTTGAATCAGTTGCTAAATTACTAACATTAAAATTATTCCTCCCCCTATTTCTTACTTGCATCTTACAAAATGAATATGAACTTTTTAGGTTCCATTCATCCTAAGTTGATTGTTGAGAAGCTTTTACATGGTTAGGAGTATCCTGTGCAGCAAATGAGAATCAGTGTAGGTACCATACCAAATTTTTTCCTCACAGATAATTGGCAGCCCAAGCATTGCTTAGGTAGGAGTAATTCAGTTTTCATAGGCCCTAGCATAAAACAGGTGAAATATATTGATATAATGTGTCTACTGTAGTTTTCATTTCTGTTATGGCAGATATTCTTTAATGCAATACAGATTTCAACTATAGCAGTCATATGGAAATAATACGCTTATTCTGCAGTTATTGTAATGCTTTACAAACCATCCTCTCAGATTTTTACCTGTGAACAGTTTAAATTTAGTCAATGGCAGGAAAAAGAAAAGTATTCTAGACTGTTGTTTATTGCTTTTTTATTGACATATTTTTATAATCTATAAGTGATAGGTTTTAAAATACATAATGGTTAGGAAAATAAAATGTGTATATGTTAACAGCTTTGAGGTAGTCAGTTTTTCATTGATTACTTTTGTCATTATGTGTTTATAAATCTGTATATTTGTATTTTTAAGAATCCAGAGAACTATTATTTTCTTAATTATATTCTTCAAATAATACAAATTAAAATCTGTACTCTATTTGTTCTCCCAGATACTGTTTATTAAAAAATTAGCATTTCCCTTTCTAAAATATCTAAAATTTCATAAATTGATGGATTTGCTTTTTATGGGGGGGTGTAAATTTACCCTTTTTTTGTTCCACTTTAGAAACATGCATTGACATTCCAGAAGTTTGTCTTAGATCAATATTTTAAATAATAGTTTAGTAAGTCAGTAATCAAAATAGAGGATTGTTTAAGTGGGTTTTGGTCAGAAGCTTTTCTTCTGCTGAGAGCTGTGTTAGACATGACAGGTGTGGAAATCCTGTGTGAACACTGCGAGCTGTCATCTGCAACCACTTGCCCCACCATACAGACGTGGGATAGAGACAAATGTTTGTACAGGACTTAGCTGAGGTAACTGAATTTATATAATTTAAAGCTTGGCTGCTTACAAATTTTTCTAATTAATGAAATGATAATATATTTTGGAATATTGTTTGAAAATATTTTTATTTGAAAATTTAGAAATAAGAACTGGTGAAATAATTTTGTTCGTTTTTGGTCTTTTTGAGACAGTTTTGCTATGCAGTTCAGGGTGGCCTCAAACTCACTTTTAGCCCAGGCTGGCCTTGGACTTACATATCCTCCTGCCTTGGCCTCCTGAGTGCTGGATTACAGGCGTGCACCACCACACTGATGCTCTGGTAAAATAAATGAATAGCTTGCAAATACCATTTTTCAAGGTAATTGGTTTAAAAAATAGTTACCTGGTACCCATAAATAGCTGTCCATGAAATGTGAGAAGCCGGATGTGGAGCAGTGTCAGCAGGACTCCAGAGAGACCAAGGGCCATTCTCCTCCAGCTTCTTCTTGAACCTATCTTCTTTTCTTAAAAAAAAATTTCAGAAACAAACACTATGCTTCTGATCTTTTTCTTCTTGGTAAATTGGTCATTGCAGTTTGTGGGGAGTTTTTTAGTACATGCTTGTAATACATAATGATTACATCTCTTAATCCTTTTTTTTTTTTCCAGCCTCTATCCCTCCCTACTCCCCACCTGGCATTCTCCTTTGCATTTGCAAAAGCTCTATTTCCATTTTATTTCCCGATTGTTTTTCCATCTCTCCCCAATCTCTTTTGAAGATTTGTAGATCTCCCTACTTCCCATTATCTTTCATTTTGCTTTTTATTTACAGTGTGGGTTTCTCACATTAGAGAAGCCATGAGATATTTAAGCTTGTGTGTCTGATTTATTTCTCTTACTATTATGATCACGAGGTGTATCCATTTAACTACAAATGCCTTAAGTTTATCTTTCTTGAAGGCAGAGTTCATTTGTATAAAAACTTAGCAGAAATATCATAGCAGCATGCCCACTGTACCCTTAAAACATCTTTTTTAATGAAATTTTCAATTGAGTGGGTCTTTAGTTCACTCATTAACTTAGCCCCAAAAGTGTTTTGTTTAGAATTGTTTTACCACTTAGCAACATTTTGACTGAATTTGCTAAAATCCAAAACTAAATAAACACCAAATAGGAATAAGAATAGTGGGGCTGGGGATTTAGCTCTGTGGCATAAGCACCTTCCTTCCAAGTGTGCAGTTGTGAGTTTGATCCTTGATACCAATAAAAACGAAAAAGACAAAAAAAAAAAAAAAGAATAAGAATAGTGTTTACCAACTCATTTCCCACAAAGGACAAATATTTCCTTTATTATCATCTTTGTATGCTGTGATTTAGCCAGGAGTAAAAAGTAATTGTGTGCTTAAAACCCTGGCAACAGTGGTAATGTTGACACCCTACAACTCTAGGTCTTAGAACAGGATGCCACAATAGTAAAATGCTGAAACCTTTTCATTGAGTATTTCTGGGAAACAGCATCCCTCTGGATTTCTCTTAATTTTATAAAATGTATTTTTATCAGCTGACATTCCCTAGCTATGTGCTTGTATTATAGCCAGCTTTCTCCAGATTTACTAAAAGTAACAGAAACCTGGAAAAGTAAGGAGGGGGAAGGACTTACTCATCAGAAATCCCCGAAGTCTCCTTTTACCGAGGCTCTACTTATTTCTGCCTGTAACTTTTCCCCAAACTGCTGTTAATATTTCTGTCTGCTGTTGATACAAATAATCGTTTCATACTGTTGTCAGTAAACACAGCTTTTTGAGCTGCAATTTTTAAAAAATACCTCGATGTCATTGGAGTTGTGAAAGTTGATGGGACAGAACAGTCTGTTAGAGGGAAGATCCCAACTAAACAGATGTGAAGCACCACATACCCTGTCCCTCCTAGCACAGGCCCTGAGCCCATGACCTGGTAAGTGATGACCCCATTGTAACCAAGAATATCATATTAGCCAACAGTCTTCTAGCATCTTATTTGAAATGGTTTAGATTTGTTAAAACATTAACCTATTTGAAATCACTTCCTTATGAATTTTATTAGAAATAGTGCTAAAAAAAAATCTGATTCTGATTGTGTTTATTCTTACAGATAATAATTAAAAAATGGTCTATCCCTTGTCCTCTGACATTAAGTTATATAGAAGAATTCTTCCAGGTAATAGCTTTTGTTTATGTTTTTTACTTTTAATCTAAAAAGGAAAAGAGAGGCAAATGAATGATTTTTTCCTAACTGATAAAAAAGTAAAAGTAATAGCTAAATTGCATTTTGGAACTTTGTTTGGAAATATAATCTGATTTGAAAGCCTAGTAATAATTAGTTCACTGTTTTTGTTGCTGTATTCTGACTTTTAATAGCTGTTGGTTTCTCTTTTTCCCCCTCAATACTCTTAAACAGATTTCAAATGCTACAGATGATTGTAAACCAAAGCTCTTTCATTTCTCCAAAGAGGTGTGTAAGTTATTAACAGATACTTTTGGTTGATTTTTCACATTTCAAGTTTTAAGAGATTTGTGTAACAGAGTCTCTTAGGTCTTTGTACCTGTAACTAATTAATTTTCATGAAAGTGCTAAGTATAGGGTTGCCTACCAGAAGAATAATATTATTTAATGCAGGGTGGCCCATTATGAAACAGGCACTTTTTTTTTTCTTTTTTGCACGCTTTAAAATAGAGCCTGTTTTAAATGGGTCTCTGCCTAAAAGAACAGATTTACCGAATGTCTGGTCTGGCCAATAAGGTCTTCTGTGGATACAGACTTCCTGTTGCCCTCTGGACTTGTAAAGCTAAATAGCCAATTACATCAGTAACTCTTCCCCTGTGAGTAGAACTTTGGTCTGCAGCTAAACCACTTGAACACGGGACCAGGGATAGAGCACCGCCAAAGTCTTTTCAGACCAGTGTTTGAAAACTGAAATTCATGATGCCTGGAGCAGAGACTAGAAGCCCAAGTCCCCTCTCCTTGTCTGAGAACCTCAGGGCACTGGAAATTTCTGCTTCTACCTCTTGTAGAAGAGTACAAAAAGTCTTTCCTATTTCTGTAGATTTCTTCCTCAATACTTTCTACTTCTGCTGACGTGCCATTTTGTAGGTCCCAGATGCTAGAAACTCTCTCTTGTGTCCACTGCTGAAGAATATTAATGTGGTTACTCCTCCATGCAGAATTTTCCTTTTTATCCCTTGAAAAATGCCTCTTTGGCCCCACAAGGGAAGTTACCACATCTTTCACATGGCAAAGCCCTCCATCTTCCCTAAGATCTAGGTAGGGTAATTCACAGGCCAGGAAATTGAGCAATATGTGAAGCTAAGAATTTGTGGATTAAACTCATTCCCCAGAACAAAGCATTATAACTTCTCTCCTCCCATTATCTTAGAAGTCTGGCCATTAGAGCACAAGAAAGGTCTTTAGCTGGGCCTTCTTTTGCTAAAGAGCCTAAAGCTAGTCAAGAGAAAATATTTTTAGAGCAGAAAAAAGAAGGTAAATCCCTACCATCCACGGGGTAAAGTATTTTCATTTAGAAGGCAATTTTTTTTTTTTGGCTTTTACAGCTTCCACTGGATCTTGTAGGTATTCTAATAATAAAAACAAAAGAAAGCTTATGTGTTATGTGGAATCTTAAGGAGTTTTTAGTTCTAAAATAAATGATGTTCATTCTCCCTGAAAGAGCTCGTGGTCAGAGATGCTCCCAGTGCAAAGATATGATTAATATTTTTAGTATTCCATTGGATTGAGTTAGTAAAGGCAAGTTCAAAAACATTATAGATTATTGCTACTTAGGGTAGTAAGATGTGTTTAAATTATGTATACTTTAGGAAAAACCCAAATTATTTTTATCTTAAATAATGTGTAGTGGGGATTGTAGTAAAGCAGTATGGTATAGGAAGCAAGCTAAAAGTTATTCTGGCCTGTATAGGCAAACCAATTATCAAGTAGAATATTTGTGGGTGGCCATAAGTCCATAAGTATATCTCTTTTTTAAAAAAGTATTATAAAGAGATGATTCATGAAAGATAAGATACATTAAATAAATTTGATATTTTGAAAAATATGCACTAAACTTGTTGTCAAGTATAATAGTGGTGTCATAGACAAGCGTTTAATGTCTTAAATTTTTTTTCAGAGTGCTTATGCTATCCCAACTATGGCTTTTTCATTTCTCTGCCATACCTCAGTCTTGCCCATATACTGCGAGCTTCAAAGGTACTGTGGGATCCTGAGAAACTCCACATGTCTTAAGTGTGTCTTTTTATCTTGTAGGGCTTTTAGATTAAATGACATTCTTGTTTATTAATCATTTCCTCTCATCACTGTATTCTGTTAGTGCAAAACAAGAGTGAATTCCATCCAAACTGAAAATGTTTCCTGGAAATACAATCTTCATGTACTAATTTCAAATTGTGAATTATAATATATAGTTCTTGGATCTTGAATTGGATCTTCAGTGTCTGAGAAATCCTCTTAACTAGCTTGGAAGATACTTGTTCTGTAGAATTCAATTCATGAATTCCATATATGCCGATTTTGTCTTTTAGCCCTTCAAAGAGAAGAATGCAGAATGTAACCAACACAGCAATTGCTTTAAGTTTTCTCATTTATTTTATAGCTGCACTTTTTGGGTACCTTGCTTTTTATGGTAAGTATATTCTTTTAATTATAATTGGCAAAATAAATCATTATGCAAATAATTACATTTCTGACTACTGTCCTGACTTGGTATGTCACTTTATTCAGGCCACAGGATTATAGTGCAGTGTTGTGGTGGCCCTGGGACCTTAAAAAATGTATTTTTCTTTTTAGTGGTGAATCAGCTGTGTATGGTTGCACACATCTATAACACTGGTTGTCTGAGGGGCTGAAGTTGGAGGATGAGAAGTTCTGCCCAGCCTGGGCAGCTTGCTGACCAGGGGAGACCAGTCTCAAAGTAAAAAAGACTGGGAATGTAGCTCAGTGTGAAGTCCCTAGATTAGACCCTTAGTACTGCAAAAAACAAAATAAAACGTAAATTTAGTTTAAGACTAATGACTTCATATGAAACTATTTTCTGAAACACCTAAGTAAAACTTGAAATTGAGAATCATTCATATTTTTCTACAAAATAATGTTTTTGAGTTTTTAAAATTCTGTATTTGATATACTAGACACTAGGAAGTTTAGGGTTGGGAGAGTAAATCATCTTATTGCAGAAGAACAAATTGAAAAGGGAAGAGTTGTGCACTGAACTCTAGTCACCTCCTTAGGTGCCAGGCACCTCTCTTCCTTCACACTTAGGTATCACAGAATTCATCAGATGTGTATTCTATGATGCACCATGACCTCTCTTACTAATTCTCTTAAGATACTTTTGAATCCATAATACAAGTACAAAATTCCTTTTTTTACAGGAAAAATTCCCTGTTTATCATGCTGTTTTTCTTTTTTGAATTTTTTTTCTTTTCATAAAAACTTCAGGAAAAAATAAAGTTTGAAAGTCTAGAACAAGAAAAAATCATAAGCTCTCCTTTAATTTGTAGACTTCAATTTGCAAACAAGCATACTATAACCCAAGTTACATTCAGTTTGTCGAATTCCAGATAGAGTTTTAAGTTTATGAAGACTTCGATAACAACTCTACGACCAGATAGCTCTTTCTGCTGGAGTGACACTTAGCTGTCGTGACTCATTTCCTGGGTGATGGCCTCGTGTGCGTGTTTCAGCACCCACATGACTGGCAGTGGCACTTATCTCCCGGAGTTTCCCTAAGTCTGACAAGTTGTTGGACAGCATCTGCTTGCACTGTTACATTTCCTAATTCCTTTGGGAAGAATATGGATTTTGAAGTCCAGCAAATCTGGGTCACATAACTTCTATACTCTTGTCTATGACCTCAAATAAATTACTTCATCCTCATTTCCTCATCTGTGATATGAGGTGTAACTGCATATGGTTGTACTGAGGCAGAAATGAGTTACATGTAAAATAGCTGCTGTAGTACCTGGAACATAACAGCCCTTCCCAAATGAGAGCTGCTGCTAGTACTGTGTTACTGTTATCATCACCAATATTGTTGCATAAGTTCAAAAACTTGTTATAGTTTTAAATAAAACTATAAGTGTTTAGTATGTGCTATATTACCATTGAGTTTTTAGTGTGTGAGAAAATTGGAATTGCCTTCTGTAGTCCTTCTTTGCTATCTCTGTGTTATTTCGGCAGTGTAATAGACTATTCCATTAGTCTAAATCCACTCTTACATTTTTATACTGATCTAGAGGTGCAGTAGAGTGCGGTGTATATCATCAAGAAAAGCATTTCCATTGTGAGCATGGTGCCATGCTGGACACACTAAAAAGAAAGTAAAACACATTATCAAACTTTTTTGATCATCACTGATAAAATTCTTGAAATATATAGGTTCTATTTTTATTGTTGGGTTCATTAATTTTTATATAGACCTAAGTCACTCAGATTTTTCTGTCTTAATAAGCTAATATAGCCATGCCTCTTGTAATTCAGACAGACATAGTACAGCGAACTTTTACTTAAAATTTTACTATTAAAATTGTCACCTGGCACAAATACTACTGGTCATCACTTACCTGAAATTTTTGGGACCAGAAAGTGTTTCACAATTTTGGAAATTTTAGAACATTTGCAGAGACATTACATTCAAAATGTTTTGGATTTTGGAACATTTTAGATTTTCAATTTTCAGATTAGAGATACTTGAACTATGTTATCAGGAATCTTCAATATTGAGGAAAAGTCCAAAAATACCTCTCTCTTCTTGTGAATAAGTAGAACCACCTGGAAAAACCTAATATCCAGAGTGACTGCAGAATAGTCACATAAAGCATCAGGTACTTCGGAGCTGTATTATGCTGTGAGAAAGCTTGGACTGAAAGGGATATGGAGTAGGAATGGATGGCTGCTAATACGTTTGTTGAGCTAACATTTAAGTAAATGTCAGATGCTTTTATATGCGTTGCTGATTTAATCCTTAGAACAACTCCACAAGGTGAGTATGAGTTAATTAAAATCAAGCTGTTAGGCTCATACCTGCAGCCAATTACTACGGGAATTAAGACTTAAATCCTGTTTTGTCTCCCTCCAAATCCAATGCGTTTTTTACCATACTGCCTCCTAAAAAGTTATACTTTGTTACACTATACCTGTTAATGCCATTCAAATTTCTTTCATTCCCAAGCTTTTATTATAATAAATGTTTTACTTAAGCTCCTGGCATATCTCTTTATCTACCCATTCATCCAGCATTATTGTTGCTTAAATATACAAGTTAAAGTTTTACCATATAAATTAAATGTTTCCTAGGTAATAATTTGCCTTGTTAACAACTAAATCTGTTATGTTCTTGACTAATCCTTTCCAATTCTTCACAGTACCCATATTTTATATAATGGAGAAATCCCCATCTTGGAAAAGTCCTGTAGGGGTAGGTAGATGATAAAGAGCTATACAGACAGAACAAAAAGAAAGTCATCCCTTTTCCAAAGACAGACAATGCAGAGGTTGATTTGCTCTTAATGATTTTCTATAAGCAGAAAAAAATCTTATGTCTTTCTATCAGGATAGCAGTGGGTCTCTTTCATATGGTAAAAATTTGTTGATTGAGCCTGAGATCTTATCAAAAAAGCTAGCTGGAAATGAAAGCTTCCTGGAAATGAAAGCTTCCCTTTTTTTTTTTGATAAGCAACTGAAGACAACAGGGATAAAGTGTCCTTGTAGTATTAAAGGCAAGTTTCCTGAATGCTAATTCACGTTCTTTCTGATAATCTTTGTAAACGTCATCCCTCGTTTGACAGGGTGCACTGAACAGGACAGCATGGCTCTTGACTTCAGAGGCTGCATGTATAACTTGCAGCAGTCACATTTGGGTCCTTCCTGAGATTTGTAGAGATTAGTCTGCATCTAGAGAAGTGTGTTGTACTGTATCCCTTACATGTGGTAAGGATCAGTTCAAAACACAAGATGACTGGCTCAGAAGAAAGGTTTTTATCCTGGGAAAGTGGAAAGTAGACCTGTGCCACGTATCTTGATTTTGTAATTTCAATATTCAAGCTTCTGGAATTGCTTGACATCCTTTTATCCAGAGCTCCCAGGGCTTAGTTAATAATCTAATTTTTGTCAGATTAAAGGACCTATAAATATGTACCTCGATTAATAATACTGGCTCTAATTATAGATGTTAAAGCATTATGTGGTAAGGAAGAGAAAAATGTTCCTCTAGTGAGGAGGCCAGTGCCCAAATGTTGCATAATAACTAGGACAGTTTAAAGTCTACAAAGTTGTTAAGCGTTAATAACTTACTTTATGATTCAGAAAGTGGAAATAAAGTAGCTTGCCATGGATCTCCAAAGACACAGTAGTTCACAGATTTGGAAATAGAATCCAGATTTCTGGGCTCTTTTTCAGTCCCTTATTTAGTCCATTTGCCTCATATTGTGTAAATTTTATCTGTAATACTCCAAGTGATTCATTTCTCTCCTATTTCTATTATCACATCTGGTTCAGATTTTTATTACCTCTCAGTGATTATGACAGTAACCTTATGCTTTCATCCCTCTTGGGGGATTTTCTTTCTAGTCCATACTGTCCACCAATGTACACTGGCTCATTAACCCTAGAGGTCAGTGATGGTGAACCTTCTAGAGCTTTCAGTGATAGCAAACAGCCTGCTGGGGCATGCTGCTAGAGGTCAATGTATTGTCCCCATTTTAAATATGGAAGAACTGAGATTCAGAAGTTGGTAATAAGAGTTGGGATTCGAACACTGCTCTGTGGTCTCAGTTTAGAATCTTAATCTTTTTTTTAGACTTTGTGTCACTTAGGTGCATTTATGTCTGTACACTTTCCATTATCTTTGTATATATTCATCTTATCTCCCCATTAAATGTTGAAATATATCTTGAAAACAGATACATTTGCTTTTTTTAAATTCCCCCTCTGAGCATCCTTTCAAAAAACATACTCTCAAACTGGAGTGCCCCTCGGGCTGCAGTTACAGTGTTCTTGAACACTGTTACTCTTTTAAGTTGGCCATTTGCCTAACACTTCTTTCTCTCTCATGGAAAATGCAGGCACAGGTAACATATCATTGAAGCTGGTAAAATGCGCAGAGCTTTAAGATTCTAAAATATTGTGTTGAGACAGACGTATCAGCATGAGCAGTGAAATGTTCTGGATGCACAGCTCTACTAACTCTCCCTTTTCATGTTGTAGGACCTCAGACACGTTATTTAGGCCTACAAATTGTGACTCTGACTACCCATCATATATTGTTATCACAGGAACCACATTCACCAAGCATGTGAGAACTCTGCAAATAAGTGGAGGGATTCAAACCCTCAGATTACAGAGAAGTTCTAAAGAGGTCTTTTAAAAACACTCTCTCATTGTCATAATTTTGGGGATTCTGCCTTTTCTGGTTTCTAATTTTATGGAAAGGGGAACAAAGAATTGTCTGTTTCAAGAACATATTTATGTTATGTCTTTGTGTTTCATAGTATAGTGAATCGGCCAGAGATGTATTTGGATCATGGGAATCCACGCCTACAGAAATCTATTAGAGCAATGGAAAATAATATTGCTATCAATGACATCTTAGTACAGAGTTCATAATCTGGTCCTTATTATTGTTTTTTTATTTACAGACAAAGTAGAGTCGGAATTACTACAAGGTTATAGTAAATACTTGCCACATGATGTTGTTGTCATGGCTGTGAAGTTATGCATCCTCTTCGCTGTGCTTTTGACAGTCCCTCTAATCCACTTCCCTGTAAGTATGTTTAAAAGTTTCGTTACTTAGTGTAGCAGGACTCCCTAATATGGCAGCACTAATTCTTTGCAGACTAGAACCTATGAATCACATGGAGGCTTGTATATCTTATTCATTTGTTAAGTAATTGATCAAAGACCTCATACTTGCATACTGCCCCATGAAAGCACAAAAATAACAGTGAACCACTAAGCTAATTTGTGCTTTTGGAGAGTTAGTTTAGATTTACGCTCTCCGCAGCATTGTTTCCAATTTAGAGACTGTAGTTCTAAAGTTTTGGAAGTTTATGTATTCTGCTTTCAAAAGAATGTGCAGGAGGAGGAGAAATTCACTCTGCAGAAAATAAGTTCTACTGGCTTATTGTAGATTTATTTTCACATAGCCATGCTAGTTTAATCTTAGTCAAGATGTTTTACTTGCTCTAGAATTATAATTTATTTCAGGCAGAACAAACTTTTGTTCTGCATCTAGTTGCTGTACATAAAATCTTAACAATTTCTGAGAAGACGGAAACAAGGTCTCAGGTCTAAGTGCTTCTGTGTGAATGTTGTGAATCTCTTACTGTGAGGGTGGTTGCTTGTTTGGGTTTTTAAATGGGACCCTTAAGACTTTTCCCCCAACCTAAGCCAACTGCAGTGCCACCATTGCAGCAGGGACCAGGTGAATGTGTGTGGATGTGGCCTCAGCACTGGAAGTGTAGTGACCTATAACATATTTACGTGCTGTGAAACGACAATATAAAATAAAATAGTAAATGGTATTTCTTTCCCATGGCATGACTTTTTCTGTTTTAGATCATTTGTTTTTCTGTTGAACATAATGAAAATGATTCTTTGATATTTCATCACACAGTGTTATTGTTGGTAATTTTCAAAGTTACACAATGTAAACTGGGCAGGGTGGTACATGCCTGTAATCCCAGCACTCAGGAGGCTGAGGCAGGAGGATCCTTGAGTTTGAGAACAGTGAGCCCAAGGCCAGCCTGAACTGCATAATGAGATACTGTCTCAAAAAGACAGGAAAAAAATGTTACAACATAAAAAATTGCCAATGAAATTTTTTTCTTAAATCAAAGCAAAATATTTTGTATGAAGCTCATATGAAAAAGCTTATGTATACAAACAGTTTATATATGTAAACACTTTATAATATTAGATTATGTTGTATTTTTGGAATCTATATAGTTTGACATATAAGAATATCATGGTTACTGTACATGTGTTTCTCTAAGCAAATGTTTTACCTTTGATATTTCCCCTTTGCTTGAATGTTTTTCTTTTTCCTTCAAACAGGCCAGAAAAGCTTTAATGATGATATTTTTCTCCAATTTTCCATTCTCATGGATTCGCCACACTTTGATCACTCTAGCACTCAATATTATTATTGTTTTACTTGCAATATATGTTCCTGACATTAGAAATGTATTCGGTGTAATTGGTGAGTTTTTCATTTTAAAAAAATTAACATAATAAAATGAATAAAATTATTAAAGTACCTCACATCTGAATCCAACAATATCTTCCTTTTCTTCCCTCCAACTTACAGGTGCCAGTACATCAACATGTTTGATTTTTGTATTCCCAGGACTGTTTTATCTTAAACTTAGCAGAGAGGATTTTCTCTCATGGAAAAAACTCGGGGTAGATTCTTTTTGTTTCTTTTAAGACTTGTATTCTAAGAAATGAGTTGTCATTTTAAGTTATTTTACTTATGTCAGAAAATTAATATATCTTAAAATATAAAATATATTATTGAGAAGGGAAATTGATTTTTCTTTTTCTTTTTCTTTTTTCTTTTCTCCCATAGGCTTTTGTTTTGCTCATCTCCGGAATCTTGGTTGGGAATTTTACTTTAGCGCTTGTCATTTTTGATTGGATCAAGAAATGAAAGAAATATTTTCCTACTTATGAGGAATAATTTACCTCTATAAGCAAGAAAGAATAATTCTAGAAGACACCTTGGATGAAAACTGTATTTTAATGAAAGTCATTAACAGAACAGAAGAAAATGACAATATGTTAGGGAAAGCAAAAATGTAGTAGTTTTAATCAAAATAAATTCAAGATATTTGTAAATATACTGAGTTGGTCTTTAATAGGGGCTTTAAAAAATTAAAAGACTTTACTCTTTTGAGTAGTTTTGTGTTTTCAGATATATTGAGCAGAAGATACAGAGAATTCCCTGTACTGCACCCTCAACATACCTAGCCTCTCCTGTTAGCAATGTCTTTTGCTAGTCTATTCCATTCTTTACACTTGATAGCTCATACTGGAACACTGTAAATAAGTCCAGAGCTGACAGTAGCATTCATTCTTGGTACCTCTGATCTTTTTTACTGGCTCCCTGCTTTGCCTTTTCTAGAGTAGTGTATGATTGGGATCATGAAGAAGATAGGGCAAGGGTCAGCAGATTAGGTTAGGGACCGGAGTACTCGGGTACAAGCCTCATGGAGCATAGAGGGCAAAGGCCTAATTGGAACACAGAGGACAAAGAGTTAACAAAGTTTGCTTTCCTGACCTTGGAGGCCCAGCAACAGTGGGAACAGCATACTTTCATTTTTGCACACCCAACAAGTTTGAAGGCTCCTGCCAATGACAAACTGCCCTTTTCAGGTGCATGGCTGCATGTGAGCCCCTAGATTTAGGCCCCTCAGCGTTTCCTCCCTGGGAGCCCCTCTCCGCTAGCAAGAGCTTTTCTTTGTTCTTCATAATAAACCATACCCTATTCTTTGCCCACTGCTATTCATGGACTTTTTCATGGTCCACAGGATGAGAACCTGGAGGAATAAATTGGCTTACAGTAGTCATGTATCATCTTCAGACTGGCTTCTTTCACTCGACAGTGTACAGTTTGCAGTCTATTCCATGTCTTTTTTGTGATTTGACAGTGTGTTTCTTTTCAGCATGCAATGTTTTTCCTCTATATGGTTGTACTACAGTTTGTTTATCCATTTACTTGTTAAAGACCTTTTGATTTTTTTTCCAAATTTTAGTAATTATGAGTAGAGATGCTATAAATATTCACGTGCAGATTCTTATGTGAACATGTTTTTCAACTTTTGGGGTAAATACCCAGGAGCACTTGTACATTGTATAGCAAAAATATGTATTTTGTAAAAATAAGCCTATAGTTTTAGTTTTAGTTGTTGGCCAACAGCAAATGCAAGTTCCTGTTATCCCACATCTTCACCAGCATTTGCTTTTGTCAGTGTTTTGAATTGTTGCCATTTTACTAGGTATGTGCTGGTACCTCATTTCAGTTTGTGATTTCCTGGTGACATGATGTTGGACAATATATTGAGTCAATCATTTGTTTAGCGAAGGTAATACCTTTATATACCACATTGATGGTTGGCTTATGGGTTAATGTCAATATTTATCACTAATAACAAAACTGTGAGATTATTATTCTGCTTGATATTTTGCCCTGCTCCTAAATTTTGTCCAAAAACTTTTGGAAATTTTCTCTGGTGTTCATTATAAGATTCCCCACTGTTGCTTACTAAATGGATTTGGAAGTTCTCTCTGCTTTTCAGTTTGACATTAAATCATGAAATTCTTCTTAGCAAACATTCAAAAATATTGATTTACTTTTTTGTACTGAGGTTGCAAATTATTGCAGTTTTCCCACTGAAATGGCTAATCTCTATTGGCAGTCAGAAGGTAGGATTTTTGTGCCATGAGTGTTCTATGTAAAGGACCACATGGTTAGCTTAAGTGTATCAGTAAAATGTAACCCATCCACTTGTAGAGTAGAGAGTTACAGGCACAGTGCTAATTTGCATGTATGGAAATGCATGCTTTTACAGGTACCCTTTTGCCTCCCACTAAGGCAGTGGACTGAAAGTTGACAACTTTGGTAGCTTAAGAACAGTATGGTATAGTGTGAAAAGCCCAAGGTTTTGGGTTTTTTTGTTTGTTTGTCTTTTTTTTTCAGTACCGGGGATCGAACTCACGACTGCCTGCTTGCAAGGCAGGCACTTATGCCACTGAGCTAAATCCCCAGCCCCAAGCCCAAGGTTTTGAATTAGAAAGTTTTGGATTCTGATCTCGATGAAAGGCATACCTCTTTAAGCCTTCTGTTTCCAGACCTGTAGAGTGGAGTTAATACTTATACAGGGTCATGTCAAAAGGATTAAATGGCCTTCTATAGGTTATATGCAGACCAAAATAGGTTTTCTTAATAGCTCTTTCTCTGATTCTTTATCAGAGCCAGTAAAGTGAAATTACTTTCAACCAAGAACGTGAAAACTTATCTTTGGTTCTTTTCATCATCTATTTTGCACAACCACTCTCTTCAGAATCATTCTCCAGCCTTCACTCACAAGGAGCTGGCCTCAAAGCATTATTGTTGGTGCATCCCCACAGTTCTCACCCACATGTACCCTCCTGCCTCATCCAGGGGCACATCCGGACCAAGCCTCCCATGGGGCCTCCGTGCAACTTCAGGTCCAATGTAGCCGATCGTATTGATGGGCTGTTACTCACACCATCTTTTTCTTGTATGAAATTATGGATCCAAATATACATAGGTGTTCAGATGCTTACATAACCCTAACTTCAGCAATACCAAAATAACCCTAAGTCTACGGCAGATATAAGGGTGCCCCTGGGGCTAATGTTAAGTGTGACAAGAGCTGGGCATCAGTTAATGCATTTGTCACCTGCTCCTGCTCCTTAGAGGTTTGACCAAGGAGACAGATAACCTGTGGAACACTCAGCATAAAACTTAGTTAATGTCAAGAAAGACTATGTGTGGTGATGTTTCCTTTCATTTTACTTGAATGTTCCACCTTACTAAATTGCCTGTTTGGAGTCCCAGCATTCTCTTGGAATTTGGAAGAAGTTACTGAGATGGCCTGCAAGAGTCCCTGGGATTACCAGAAAGCCTTGCTTGAGTGCCCCTCATGTTTTTCTGGGAAATATGGGCTTCTTCTTATGGGCTTACTGTTCATAATTTATTAGGTAATAACTGTTTAAAATAAAACTAAAACACAAAATACACTTTTCTAACATTTGAAGACTTGCTCAAATTAAAAGACAAAATGCCAAGACTAAATTACTTTCATATGTAGAGAGTGAATGTTTAAAGATTGTACTTTTTTTTTTTTAGCAGAATGTTTACACTTGAGCTTAGAATTGAGATGGTTAAAACAAGCCTTTGAAGTTAACACTCCATTAAGATGAATGGAGGTAATTCACACCTCTGCTGGTGCTGTATTATTTTATCCTGGCTGTGGAGAAAACAGGACAGCAGTAGGTTGATTTACTGTGTGAAGGACCTTTAAACACTTTAGGTCTGGAAATCTTTGTTGTACCCCCTCTCCTTTCAATCTATAAGCAGCATCTGAAATGTGCCACAATTTAGATATAGAAAGTACTCCTGGTTCTCTATCTGGCAGTTCTGTCTGGTTTTTGATGGACAGAGTCACTGTATCAACCCAACTTCTCTGACTTTGTTTGATCCTATACTGGATCAAATCATAGTATTCAGTAAACTTCACCTTAGCACTCAAAATCACCAATGAAATATAAGGAGAAATCATGTTCATGTAAATTTTATATGTGTGTGTGTGTGTGTGTGTGTGTGTTTTTCTTTTTATCAGTACCGGGGATCGAATTCACGATCGCCTGCTTGCAAGGCAGGTGCTTATGCCGCTGAGCTAAATCTCCAGCCCCAAATTTTATATGTGTTTTTAATGAGTTATGAACTAACGTGCTTCTCTGGTAAAAACATTTTATATTTGCAAAATCTTGTGTTTTGTTTTGTTTTTTTACCGGTACCAGGGATCGAACTCATGACCACCCACTTGCAAGGCAGGCACTTCTGCCACTGAGCTAAATCCCCAGCAAAATCTTGTGTTCTCATTTGCCTGCCTTTGAAGCATCTACCTTGAAGAACTTTCCCATATTCCCAGGACAGTGAAGTAAGCAGAGATCATTAAGGACTCATTTCTTTCTCAATGTGTTCTTTGTATTTGTTCTACAGTATTTTGGATTTGAAATATTTTCCACTCATCGGAAGACCTACAGCCATCTGACCCTAAAAGAATATTTTAGAGCCTGGGAATAAAGTTATCTTAGTACAGATAAATTGGTGAACGTTGTGTGAGACTTTGAAAGGTCTCTTTAGTGTGAACAGATTTTTCTCTTGTTTCTCTGTCCTGTGCAAGATCCAGTTACTTCATAATCTATGAGTAGCTGGGTGTGGAGTGTATTTCTGCTCTGGGCTGTCAGCAGCACTGACATTGCCAGTACACTCTATGGAGACAAAAGTTAGATGCTAGAAACAAAGCTACTCCAACTGAGTTAATATGACCACCTTTCTTGGCATGTTGACTGTATTCTGTGACTGCGTTAGAATTAGCTCGGAGTTAAGCTTGCGTTGCTGTCTCCACATTTGTCTGCGGTTTTGGCTGTCACAACATTTGACCTTAGCATGTCTTAGGACATTCAGAATATTGAGAAGTTTGCTTTTCTAATTTAAATGCCTGATTTATTCATTCTACCAGTGTTTCCTATAGTCTTTTTATAATGAGGTAGGAGAATACAATGTGGTGGGATATGAGTAAAGATGTATTGGTTTCTTCACTGCAGTCGGTCCTTTTTCTTTGCTTTTGTTTCTCCTGACAATTTGATAGTGTTCCTGTGATGATAATGTTCTGTGCCTTTGCTCACACGGCTGTCAGTCAGGCAGAGCAATTGTGAAAAGCAGGAAGACTCATCTTGGCTGATAGCCAGGTAGGCAGGCGGGAGAGAGCTTCAGTTAACCTCTGGGACAAAGTGGGGGGGGGGGAGAAAGACCAGTTGCCAGGCGTGGGGGTTGGGGCCGCGGCTGAAAACACATTGTAACATGGATGCTATGAAGGGAAGAAAGACATGTTTTTCTCACTTGTTTGAATGTATGTATACAATGGGCTAATGCATAACACAGGCAGAGGTGGGCTAATTCATTCAGCAAATACTTACTGAGCACATATGTCCTTAGGTTTGCAAAGCTACACAAGACAAACATCTTGTCTGAGAACAGCTCAATCATAACTTTGATATTCCTGATTTAACCTCATCAAATGGAT